GAAATATATTTGTTGCTGAAAGTATTAAAACTTAAGTAACTTAAACAATTATAAAATTGGTTTTAAATGTAATGAGCTCCATACAATATAATAAAAACGTTAATAAAAGGGTTTAAATAAAATACAAACCTTTACGAAAATAAATATATTGTTCTTTATTAATTAGTATTAATCATTTGCTGTTTTTATTTTAGTTAAACTATATTTAAAATGAATGTAAATTAAATAGAAAACATGTGCTGAGAAAAAAATGCATGTTTTAGCTATCACTTTTGATTTCCTTAGCAAAATTCATTTAAGAAATTAAATTGAAATATTCAACAATATTAAACTTCTTTTGAATATATGAAATACTGACTATGAAAGCTTTTTCTCTGTCTGTAAACGTAAAAATATTGTTTCAACTATAAGCAGAGTTATTGAAATTGATTGAAAATCGTCTCGACAATGTCAATGGTATTGCCATGGCCAAATCAAATTAAGTACGCTGCATTGCCCAGCATGAAAATATCCGCAAAATGTGTTGCATTTGTTGGCCAGAAAAGAGATCGAAGAGTAAGAGTGGCAGAACAATAGCTAAGGCTTACTGGCACAAATCAAATCACAGCAAATTAGTTGTAATTCAATTGCCGCCAACTGTCGCCTCCGCCGCCAACACAGTCTGTGTCCCTGCCAGCCGTCTCCTCCTTCGAATCCGCCACACTTTCCACATGTTTGGGTCCTAATCCCCTTAGGGAGCTGGCGAAAACTTGTTGATACTAACAACACTGTTGTTGTATTACTCGACACACACCTACCCTGCACACCACACGACGGCAAGGTGAATGGTCAGCGTCGGCGGCCGGCGGGCACTTCTGCAACTCATAACACCTCGCCAGTTAGGGTGTGTGTGCGTGTGTGTGTATAGAGAGGGACAACCTCCAGGTGTATCTATGCACTGGCTGACAAATATTTGACGTTTTAGTCTAATTAAATTAGCCACAAACGCCGCTCGGCCCTCGGGAAAGGTATATATTTCTGCGCGTTAGTCGCTGCGTGTAAATTTCCGCAGGTGCCACACTTTCGCGCGGTTCGTTGCGGCTTCTGCGGGTGTCTCGGTGTGGCTTTTCAGTTGAACAATAGAAATAACTAAATAAGAAAGGAATACTATACTATACGAATAAATAAAGTAAATCCGTGCGGCAATTGTTGTAAAATATACTACATATAATATTGCCATACAATTCATATTCTTAGTCCCTCACCTAAGCCGGTCACATGAAATTTCAACGTCCATTGTGCCATCGGGTTGAACAATTGCACACGTTTCTGTGTGCCGGAATGCAAGAAGTACGTATCCGTGCGGGCATAAGTGGCTTAAGTGCAGTCCGGGAGCCAGCTGAATTATGTAGTTATACGACGAGTATCTTTCATTCATTGTGCGAGCTCTGTGTCCTGTGTGTGTGCGAGTGTGCAAGAGTGTATGTGTGTGTGTGTGTGTGTGTGCAGGACTTTGTGGTCGGTAACGGACTGGAAAGCTCAGCGATAGAGTTTGCCATTTTCAACCTGATAAGTTTCTTTTTTGGTTTTTATGAACCCTAAAAACTCCATAACTCGCAAGGATTGTGACATTTAATTGCTACAGGAAGGAGCCATGAGGAGGATAATGATAATAATAATAATGTTTTATTAGACCATCTGCTTGGGAGTTTTTTTTTTTAATGCCAAAGTTTAACTATAGTTAGTTTCTTCAGGAACATAAAAAAAAAGAAATAAGATGCCAAGGTAAATTTATTATTAGGTTCTGGGAACTATATTTTATATCCGCAAAATTCAGTTTTAAATCAAAGTTTTTCGGTTAAAGGATTATGACACTAGCCCTTCAAATGGATAATCCAGCAATATATATGTACATAGAGAAATATATTCTTTAATGAACAAAAAGAAAATATCTGAAGATTTCCTTTTAAAGGATTATAAAACTAGCTCTTCAAAACGGTAATTAAGTATACTTCATGCATAGACATGGATCTATATATGTATACATCGTATTCCTGTTAAGGAATTATGACACAACCCCTTCGATTGGATAAACTATTAACAGACATACTTGTATCTGTTCCCAGTAAATGGCCATAAATCCTTATATACATATCATATCATATATATATATAAGCATTCTCTCAACGGAGTAGATAGAACCGAATTTATTGTGACATTTTTATGCCCAGGTGTTTATTCTCCCCTCTTTATCCGCAGGAGTCCGCACTTATATTTCTATTAAGTTAATTAAACAATGCAGTGGCACCAGGAACATCCTTTTGTCCGGTGGCAAACTGGCACCGGAAGTTGTTTTATATAATTTTTTATTCATATATGACAGCCCTCTCGATGGGTCAGTGTTTCGGTTTTTTGCGGTTCCTTGTGAATATGCAAAGCGCTTGCATTTTTTATGGCGCGGCACAAACACTTTTAAATGCATCTGCAGGATCCGTAACCGGATCCGGGATTCGCAGGACCAAAAGCAGTAGCATAAAGCCATTTTAAAGCAAAAGCATGTAGAGGGAATGCATTTTTTGCTTCCACGCGGATTACCGAAAAAAACGCCTTCTTAAATATTCATTTGGTATTGTTCACACATGCGGAGAGAGGCGAAGGGGAAAATGAAAAATGAAAATGAAAATGAAAATATAAATGAAATAGAAGAGGGGTGGGTGTGTGCAAATATTGCTGTGAAATAATTCCTAATGGGAAACCGATTGTTGGTGATGTAAACAAATAAAAATTGCAGCTGGCCATGGCCATCATAAGGGAAATGCAAGTGCAAAAATCGAATAAGAAAAGTAGAAATCAAAACAGAAAAAGTGAGAGCAAGTAATTTGTGATTAATAAGTAATAAGTGCTTTGGGAAAACCTATTCAGTGTGGCCTTTGGTGTTTATTCGGCTGGAACACAAAATTTCCTAATCAACTCAAAAATTGGTGAAACTTAAGTCCGGCAAATGTAGTTGGCACTTAAAAAGGGCTTAGTGGAGAGGAAAATATATAGAATAAAAAAGTAAAACATTATAAACAGCTTAAATGGAAACTTTTTGCACGCCGGAAACCAGTGACCAAAGACCAGAAACCATAAACCAAGACAAAAACCAACAGACAGACGCACGGACTCGCCCGGACGGACATAACTATAAAGGCCAAAATCAACTCGAAAGTTGCATTTGGCCCGGCTTAGCATTGGACTTTTTTGGCTTAGGCCATTGTGTGTGCATAAATATATGTAAATACCATACAGTTCTCACTAAGCCCCCTCGCCGACATGGAGCCGAAGCTGTGAACTCGAAACTCTGAACTCGACGGAACTGTCGTGAACCCGTGGACATACATACGTACACAGTACATGGAATATTAATTACGCCCGGCTTTTTGTTAAGTGAATTTTCTGTAAATCAAAAACTCCCAGCATGGGCCGCAAAAAGAAGCTGCCGACGGGCGTAAGTAGAAATCGAGAAAAGTATCGCTTTGGTATTAACACCAGCAGTAATAGCAACAGTAACAGTAACAGTAAAAGTAACAAGCCAGTTGCCACTTAAAGTTTGCTTAGCCTAAATGCCACATTTCCATGCTGCCATGGAGCCAGACAATCAGCCCAGCATCCTTCTCCTCCTTCTCCACTTTGCACTTAATTTTCTTGTATGTTTATTTTTTATTTATTTGCAATTCCGCATACACGGCCTCCCGCCATGTCTACACACATATACACACTCCCACTCACCTGTCCCCCGTCTGTTTAAAATATGCCAGGTATCGTCTGGCGGCAACAACAACACCGCAGCCCCCAAAACAGTGGGCGGGTTCTGTGTGCCGCTGGGATTACCGCAACCTTTGCTGCTCGAGGAGAAGAAGTTCCTGCTGGCGGTGGAGCGCGGCGATATGCCGAACGTGCGCAGGTGAGTGCGATGCGACGTGCGATGTGCGATGCGATGTGCGACGCGATGTGCGACGCGATGCCTCCGATACATATACCTCTGGCATCCTGCAGAAGGTGGGGAAGTATTGGTTCTGGTTTAAAGAGGTGTATGTTTCTTAAGTTACTTAAGTGGGATATCCGTATATTGTTATGCATTTTGGATAATAATTTCTATATCAATATACCATTTTAAATACAGATAGATACATTGTGGGATAAAGAAATTTTTAATGATCTATCCAGCTTAGTTTAATTTATGAATTTACATTTGAAAATGAAATATTATTTAAAGATTTAAAGAAGCCTTTGCAATCCAATTAAAGTTGTAATGCCAGCATATCCTAAACCTAAAGATAATCTTTATGTTAGGCAACCTAAGATCCTCTAATAAATCCTCTAATAAATACATAGATCACCGCCTAAAAGCAGACTACGGAATATATATTAAATGTTCCACTTATCATTAAATTTCTAATATCTTTCAGGGTATCCCAAATTCGATTACCCCAGTAATATCAGGTGTTGACTGGGCTGGTTGGCATAAATCCCTTTGGGAGGCACCTTTGGGCTTCGGTTTGGGCCTGGCCTTGGTTGGGGACCTGGTGTTGGAACTGGGAGTTCTGGGTGGTTTCAATTATTTGCTCAGTCGCCCGCCACTGCCTGCGGGCCTCAAATGGTTACCTAACTTGTTTCTTACATGCCACTTAATAAGCAATATGAGGGTACTGCCTCTCCTCAGCAGCTTTTCGCTTGTTTACGGCTTTAATAAATTCACAATTAATTTTCGTTTTCCAAGGATGAATGTGAGGCAAGAGTTTCAGTAACTCATTGAAAATTAGCTCATGGTCTCCACGGAAAGTTGGAGAGCAATGCGAATGCGTTATTGATTTTTGAAAGTGAAAAGTAATTTCACTAGAATTCAAATCAATTTAAAGTGGTGCATCAACCTTGATTTAAATGTTAACAAGTTTGTATAAAAAAACGTTCTATTTATATAGGAGGTACTAATTTCCAACTAAAACTCAAAGTTCCCACTATATAACTCACAATACATATTTGGTTGACCAGCATGGCTGTCGTTTATGAACAATTTCTTATTGTTTTTAGCATTGGGATGACGGAACGGCTACGAACATATATTAGGTGTCCGTTGGTGTTGTCCTGGCTCTCGGCGCTGCTCCTGTTCTCGTCGCTGTTTCTGTTTCTTTGGGGAGGCATGCATGGTGGTGTCGCCACAAGCTCGCATCTTGTGGATAATGGGGTGGTATTGGTGCTATCTCTAGATCTGGATTCAATTCTGATAGGAATGCAGAGGCTGGTGCAGATGCTGGTGCAGAGGCTGGGGCTAATGCGAGGGCTACCTTCGGTTGCGTGGACGGGCGATGCCATGTAGATGGGAATGTGGGGGCGATGGTGTTTTTTGACAATACGGGGACACTTAAAAGTTGATGAAGCGATACGGATTGTAGCTTTTCATCTCATCCAGCGTGTAGCGGTAGACGGTCTTCGAGGGCTCCTCATCGGAGCCGGTCGAGCCTTCGTCCGCTTGGATCTTGTTTAGACGTATGCCCTTCAGCTGGCAGGCGCGACGGTACAGCTGCTCCTCACGATCCATGTAGAACTGGCACGATACGGGGGTGTTCGGAATGACCGCCGGAGGATGAGCCATCGGATGTTGGATACCGAATGCAGCCCCGCCAGCGCCATAGCCGAACCAGTTGTTGGCCAGACCGCCGCCGGCCCCCAACTTCACCGTTTGGGTCTCTGCGATAACCGTGGTCAGTGGATCTAGGTACCTTGCAGGAGAATGCCTACCACTTACCCTTGTTCTTTTGGGCCATTTTAATGACCAATCCTTGACCCTCGGCGGCTTCCATTTGGTATAGATTTAGCGGAATCGGTGGGGATAACGTACAATTTAATCGCCAAATGTTGCGAATCGCGTCTTGAAAAGCGATTTCCGGTTCCGGTTCTTTGAATTTTGTACAACAATTTATGTTGACGAACGAGCTCTACCTGAACTGAAAGTAATATTTTTTTTCGCCCCTAAACTGACTGGTAAAAATGACAACGCCTAATCAACTGCCTCGCCAACTAGGTTTTTGGGTTTTTATTTTTGTCAGTTTCAGATTCTCTAATTTTTCTCGCAGAGTTGCTCCTCTCGTTTATTACATAATTTCCCAGCTTCTTCAAACACAGGCTCGATATGAGATTTCCCTTTTTCTGGCAGCCCATTGATTGGCAAAGTTTTTTGTTGGCCGCGGCCTTGCGCGATGTAATTAGAAACTTTGGCTTCAAGTTTTTATTTGACAAAAATGTGGAGGAGATGGGTGGAGACCCTGCTCGAAATCGACAGAAAAAGTAAAAGTTTCCCCCTCGATGGGAACTTGCTTAAATTAGCACCGGACCACCAGCCCCACTTTATTAAGTAAATTCCAATAATTGCCATGTCCTGGTCCAATTTACGTCCTTCTCCTCCTTCAGGATCCTGCAAAAGGCGCTGCGCCAGCAGCACATCAACATCAACTGCATGGACCCCTTGGGCCGGAGGGCCCTCACCCTGGCGATAGACAACGAGAACCTGGAGATGGTCGAGCTGCTCGTCATCATGGGTGTGGAGACAAAGGATGCCCTGCTGCATGCCATCAATGCGGAGTTTGTCGAGGCCGTGGAACTCCTGCTCGAGCACGAGGAGCTAATCTACAAGGAGGGCGAGCTCTATGTAAGTTACACTCTCTCTCTTGGAACTTGCATTTAAAGAAATTGTCTGGGATATTATTATCCTTTAATAATGAGAATAAATAGGTGACAATCCTGAAATAGGAGAGGTTTTAAATTGGATTTTATTTATACAAATTGTGGTTACATTTGACCTTTTATTTTATAAATATTTCTGTTATTGGATGTTTAAGTTAGCCTTTACCAGCAGTTTGCAATTTAATTACAGGATCCAATCGGAAATCGAACATATCTATCCTTAAAATATTAGCATTCTTTGAAGCGTTATTTTGATGTGGCAAATTTTTCGATAAATCAAAGTTTAAAAGAATCATAACTAAGCCACAAAAGCATCTATATTAGTTCGGATTTATGTAGTCGCTAATGACTTCTTCAAATTATTAAAAGCATCTGACTTTAATTTTAACTAAAAAAGGGGACTTTCCCTTTAATTATTATTAATAAAGTAACTAAAATGTTTCACATTTATTACATTGTAAGTTAAATAGTTCCCAAATAAGTATATATATATTTCTCTGTGTGTATCCTGGGCTTTGTCTGCTGTGCTCAGCTAATTTGTGGTCCACATCATCGGGCCGTAGGCAGCTTAGGCCGGTAAGTTGAAGCTAACACGATTTTAATCAGTTTCCGTGTGAGGGCGGCGTTGGGTGTTTGGAATGTTTTGAGTGCCTCGAGGAGTGCCAGGAGTACCAGGAGTGCCAGGAGTAGCTGTAGTATCTGGAGTGGGGGATCCCACCCATTGGGATCATCTTTGCCATTGGGCACGTACACGCAGCATCTCAGGACTCGAGTGATTGGGAGTGTGCGATAAGCGGCCAACGACCAAGGACCCTCGTTCCTCCCAATCCTGCGCACTCCTCACACTCCTCCTCCTGGCAAATATAGTCGTCTGGGCGTTCAGTTTAGCCTCCTGTCTGCCTGCTCATATTTATGCACACGGGCACGCTTCATTAGGCAGCCATTGGGCGCTGCTGAAGCGTGAAAATTACTATTGTAGCGCATATGCAATAAAACGTTTAACAGGCTTAATAACATCTACAAATGATGAAGACAACCGGAGTGGACTCAAGTGGGGACTTTGGACGGTTTTCGTAATGTTTTCTGTCATTTATTCAGATTGATATAGCCACCGAGATTTATATTGCAAGGCATAAACACTCCATTGGATGGGAACAATATGTTACAGATTTAGTTCATAGAGAATGTCTTCTCACAAACATATTTTTCTTAGTATAAAGAATTTTGTTATACGGCTTTTGGACCTATTTTGATATATTTATCACCTAAGACAATATAGAGATAATTATAGCAGCACAGCGCCTGCATATTTCCTTCTATATTGTCTTTGTTCTTTGGCCATAGCGGTTTTAATTCCCTTGAATTTTTTATTTTCCTTTTACATTTCTCACAGAGTTGGCAAAAGGTGGATATCAATACGGCCATGTTTGCTCCAGATATCACACCCCTAATGTTGGCTGCTCACAAGAACAATTTTGAGATCCTGCGAATTCTGCTGGATCGTGGAGCTGCAGTTCCAGTTCCACATGATATACGGTAAGTCTTTAGCTATATATCCCACTAGAGATCCTTAAAAATATATATGTTATTATCTCCATTAGCTGCGGTTGTGAGGAGTGCGTCCGCCTAACCACGGAGGATTCCCTAAGGCACTCCCTCTCCAGGGTCAACATTTACCGAGCCCTGTGTAGTCCCTCGCTGATTTGCCTTACCTCCAATGACCCCATACTCACCGCCTTCCAGTTGTCCTGGGAGCTCCGTAATCTGGCTTTGACGGAACAGGAGTGCAAATCGGAGTACATGGAGCTGCGGCGGCAGTGCCAAAAGTTTGCCGTGGATCTCTTAGATCAGACACGCACCTCTAATGAGCTGGCCATCATCCTGAACTACGATCCGCAAATGTCAAGCTATGAGCCCGGTGACAGGATGAGTTTGACCCGCTTGGTACAGGCCATTTCCTACAAGCAAAAAAAGGTATTCGCTGCAGGAAACGGGAAGTTAAATTTCTAGTTTTTCTCATGTTTCCTTTCGACAGTTCGTGGCGCACTCGAATATCCAGCAATTACTGTCCTCGATTTGGTATGACGGCCTGCCCGGATTCCGGCGAAAGAGCATCGTGGACAAAATCCTGTGCATTGTCCAGGTGGCGGTCCTATTCCCGCTGTACTGCCTCATCTACATGTTCGCCCCCAACTGCCGGACGGGGCAGTTGATGCGCAAGCCCTTTATGAAATTCCTCGTCCATGCCTCGTCCTATTTGTTCTTCCTGTGTGAGTATGCCGGTGGAAGTGCTCCAAGTAAACAATTTCAACTTGGATTAAGATGATTTCATATGCAGGAATGGGGGTGGAACAAGGGATACTCTCTGGAAAGCCTGTACATAATTTATTGAGGCTAAATAGCTTGGGTTTCGATTGTTCTTATTTCGTGTTATTCTTTAAGAACTAAAAGGAGTACAATAACCTATTTCTACAGAAATAAACTAACAATACAATTTAATAATAACTTAGAGCCGATACATTTGTCCACTCGGTCACAGGGTATTAATAACTTTCCCACATTATGATTCCATCCTTACGGCATGTGGAGATACTCCAGGAATAATGACATACCAACCTGGGAGACCACCACTCATTGTTGTTTGCTTTTCCAGTCATCTTAATTCTGGTCTCCCAACGGGCGGACGATGACTTTGTGCGCATCTTCGGCACGGCCAGGATGAAGAAGGAGCTGGCTGAGGAGGAGCTGCGTCAGCGTGGCCAGGCGCCCACCAAGCTGGAACTGGTCGTTGTCCTCTATGTGATTGGCTTCATGTGGGAGGAGGTGCAGGAGATATTTGCCGTTGGCCTGAAGAGTTATTTGCGGAACATGTGGAACTTTATCGACTTTCTGCGCAACACTCTCTACGTGAGTGTCATGTGTTTGAGGTGAGTCCTTTTCCAGAAACTAAGAAATTTCCGTATGACCTCGAGAGATCTCAAATGGCTCTTCTTTTACCATCTTCCAGAGCCTTTGCGTACATCCAACAGGCCACGGAAATAGCCAAGGATCCGCAGATGGCGTACATACCCCGCGAAAAGTGGCATGATTTTGATCCGCAACTAATTGCCGAAGGACTCTTTGCGGCGGCCAATGTCTTCTCGGCCCTCAAGCTGGTCCACCTGTTCAGCATCAATCCGCATTTGGGACCGCTACAGATCTCCCTTGGCCGAATGGTCATCGACATTGTCAAGTTCTTCTTCATCTACACCTTGGTGCTGTTCGCCTTTGCCTGTGGCCTGAACCAGCTGCTCTGGTACTTTGCCGCGCTGGAGAAGAGCAAGTGCTATGTCCTGCCGGGTGGAGAAGCGGATTGGGGCTCGCACGGCGACTCCTGCATGAAGTGGCGTCGCTTTGGCAAGTAAGTCCAGTCAGCGGGGCAATTAGTCCCAGGCAGCTGGCCACTCATTGGTCTAATTTTGTACTTTCACTGCCAGCCTGTTCGAGTCCTCGCAGTCGCTGTTCTGGGCCAGCTTCGGTATGGTCGGGCTGGACGACTTCGAGCTGAGTGGCATCAAGTCATACACGCGCTTCTGGGGCCTGCTCATGTTTGGCTCATATAGCGTCATCAACGTGATTGTGTTGTTAAATTTGCTCATTGCCATGATGTCCAACTCGTACGCCATGATTGATGTGAGTTTCAGTATTAGAGCCTTTGTTTTGGTTACCCTTTGGAGCCACCTTTCAGGAGCACTCGGACACTGAGTGGAAGTTTGCTCGCACCAAGCTGTGGATGAGTTATTTTGAGGATAGCGCCACCCTGCCGCCGCCCTTTAATGTCCTGCCCTCGGTGAAGTGGATTATTAGGATGTTTCGCAAGTCCAGCAAGGCCATCGATCGCCAGCGGTCCAAGGTGAGTCTGCATTCAAGTGAGAAGGATCCTATATTAAAGTCTCCCTTTTAGCAGAAGCGACAGGAGCAGGAACAGTTCAATAAGTACGACAACATCATGCGATCCCTGGTCTGGCGATATGTGGCTGCCATGCATCGAAAGTTTGAGAATAATCCCGTCTCCGAGGACGACATCAATGAAGTCAAGAGCGAGATCAACACGATGCGCTATGAGATGCTGGAAATCTTCGAGAACAGCGGCATGGATGTTTCTTCGGCCAACAAAAAGGAGAGACGTAAGTGGAGATATCACATTTGAGTACAACTAATCCTTAGACCTTTTTAGAGCCACGACCACGACGCATTAAGGTATGGGAACGGCGTCTGATGAAGGGCTTCCAGGTGGCGCCGGTGCAGAATAACTGCGAGCAGGATGCCTTTGGCAATGTCAATGGACATGGTGATATGCGGGAGATTAAGGTGGAATCGATACCCTCCAAGCCCGCCAAGGAGACGGCACGGGAACGCTTCCAGCGAGTGGCACGTACGGTGCTGCTGCAGTCCACGGCCCACAAGTGGAATGTGGTGCTCCGAGCTGCGCAGGACTCGCAGATAGGACGGTGTACCAAGGACGAGCGCAAGAACCTGCAGCACTTGGGACGAGCCATCGAAGAGGCCAAGAGGTAGCCTTGCCCTAAGATTTGTATCCTAAAACTAGCTTTATTTTCACGTTCTCCTTTACCAGACTTATCCTGCTCAATCCGGGCTGTTCATCCGGCCGGGAGTCGCCCATTCGCATCGAGTTTGAGGATGAGAAGACCAGCACTTTGCTGGAGCTGCTCAACCAAATCAGTGCAGAAATCAGCAACAACGAGAGACCCAGGATCAAGCCCACCTGGCGACCTCCACTGAGAACTGTTCCCGCTCGGGCCATGGCGGCAAACAACACCAGATCCTTGACAGCTCCGGAACTAAAGTTCGTTAGCCGGAAAGCCTCACCAGCTCCTACTCCAGGTGCCAGTCCCAAGCAGAATCGGGTATCTCAGCTGGCCAGGGAGCTGCCTTTGTGCCCCAGCAAACTAATAGGAGCGACATCAGCAGCTACTCCCAGCACTTCCACTGCAGCTGCCGCTGCGGCTCCTCAACCCAAGAAAACGGCACCTACAGCTCCAAATGCTGCTCCTCCACCTGGTTACAAACCCTCTTCCAGGTCCATACCCTTCTCTGTGGAAAGCCGCTTTCGGGGAAATGCCCAAAACCATTCAGCCCATGGTGTGCCTTCCGGCAATTCCAACTTCAACATACACGTGGTTGATCTGGACGAGAAGGGTGCTGCAAGGACCAAGGATAATGTCTCCGATATAAGCTCCATTGCCAGCACGAGTCCCCAGCGACCAAGGCATCGAAACTTAATGTGATTGTGGCATGGACACTGGCGATAAGTCTCCATTCAAATGGGTCCAAATGATGCCTTCCAAAAAACCTAAATCCTGTATTTATCTATAAACAAGGAATTAAACTATTTAGGCAAATTAAGGGGGAGAGCTTAACTTTCATCTTAATCTTCTTGAATTTCCTTAAAAAAGAGTCTGAGTCTTTTTTAAATCCATTTACATATAGCCAATGAAGCGTCTGTAGACATGATGGACCCTCGAGGGCTTAACTTTTTTTTTCCTTCCTATTTTCCGGGGGAAAGCGTGCGTAAATTCGTCAGCCGGAAGCATCAAAGCCAATTGAGACACAAACATAAACAAGTCTTTCCAGGCTAAACGCTGCTCTTAAGGGCAAAGCGAAATAAAAAACGAAAAAAAGAATTATAAATTCAATTTGATGTCATATCAATTGATTTTGTGCTACATCTTTTTGCCGCTTGGCCTGGCGTTCCGGTGCTGCTGACAACTCCTGACATCGTGACTTTCAAGAGAGCTTTATACTATGCCTCATATCCGTGTATCTTTGTATATATATATATTATATGGATTTTCAGAGGGATTCGGAGGGGTAAAGGTGCGCTGTTTGTGGTCCTTGGCCGAGTTGAGGCTGCTCGGTGACACGGCGGGGGCTGCGGCTGGCATTTGATTTTGATGACGCGTGGCACTTTGAAATTTATGCGCCACTCCGGGCACACTTTGTATGCGCCCAATGCCTCGGAAAGATGATGAACGTTCGAAGTTTTGGGACGTGGTGTGTGTGTGTCTCTCTCTGACTTTTGGGAACAATGTTTAACCTTAGCCTGGGTGAGGTCTGTAACTGCTTTGCATGAAACTCGAAACTCGAAACGCGAGGGGTATGAGCGCCCAGGTATCATGATTATTATGCCTCGCTCCCCCAATTTTTTTTGTTTGGCGGAAACATTTCAGTGGGGGGAATTCTTAGGCGGAATTAAGATAAATATAAATGCCATTTTCCTTTGGATTTTTATGGCAGCCATAATATATGCTAATGTGATTAGGTTACACATCATTCAGGAGCTGCAAACTTTAGCTGAGTTGCCTAACTTTTCGAAATTAGTCTGGACATGTCCTTCGATATTTGATATTTGCCAAAAATATTTGGCAATGCCAGAAACGTTTGTAAGTCCCGGTATCCAATTACCTTGAGAGCAGAGAAATTTCCAAAATTCCAAAAATTCCGTTTATTTACACAAATTCTGTTGAATTTCTGACAACATACGAGTTCCCATTATTTCGCTAGGCAGACAAATGTACACAGAGATGGGCTAGTTTTTTGTTTTGGGTTAATTACATAGTACACTTATCTTAGGATGACTCAAGCAATCGGATTGTAGATTAAGTTCGATCAATAGATCAGGATAGTGCGGCATTATCCCTCCCTGCGGGCCAGCTTCAGTCGCACGGCAATGCGCTTGCATTTCCACATCAGTTGCGTCTCCAGGATGCTAAAGGACATGGCCACCAGGACGAGTCCTAGAAGCAGATAGGCGCAGCAGGCATACAACTGCAGCTCTGGCCCATTGAAGCTCCGGGCGGGCACAAAGTCACCATAGCCGATCGTCGAGAGGGTGACGAAGCAGAAGTAGGCTCCATCCACCAGCGACCAGTTCTCCCACAGCGCAAAGATCACGGTGCCCACGCAGATGTAGCACATTAGGATGAGCAGCACCAGACTAATGGGCACCTGCCGCTCCGTCTCCTCGCCCTCGTCCTCGGAGTCGTCTGCCCCCTCGCGGCAATCCTCCGACTCGCTGTGGCAGTGGTAACGTAGTTTCTTCAACACAAACTGCTCGCTTCCATGCTGCATGTACTCATCGTCGTCGGAGGTCTCCGTATTATTGGCCGTGCTGTCGTAGAGGGCTCCGGAGGCGTGCCTTTGACAGCGTCTCGTCAGTAGCAGGGTCTTCCGATTTAGCGGCTGCAAAGAGTGCCTATTGAAGCCGGCGGCACCAGCGGAGGCGGTACGGGAATGGTTACCCTGGCTGGACTTTTCGCCAGCGTCCTGGGGCACGCTCAACGGACTGGCTATCAGCGGGACTCGAGAGGGCGTGCCGTGCGGGCAGTTGCTGTGAAATGGAAAAAAAGAACATGGAAGGACAATAAATATTTATGCGGGAGCTGACCATAAAATAAATCAATTAGGCATAAAAAGCAAACCCCAAAGCAACCTCGGGCCATAAAACCCAAATAGCTGCTGCTGCCCGCACAGTCCCGTCCAATCAATAAGGCATAAAACTGACGGTGCGTATACGTGTTTTTTTAGCTGGTCAGGAACACGGTGCGTATGCGTTATATTAGTATAACTAAGCTGGGATGGCCAGGGATTAAAGTCGAGAAGAAGAACATTACGAACTTGGTATATATTTAAGGAAACTATTTGTAAGGTTCTTGTTTTAATAATGTTGCTTCAACTATTTCAACTGTTTTAACTTCAACCTTTACAAGAGAAACAGGTAGTTAAGTCTGCATTTAACTTCCAAATTCAAAGCAATTCAGAGAGTCACAAGTTCCAAAACTGAGTCTGATTTGATTGACAATCGAAATACCTCTTGGATTGCAACTAACAAGGGTCTCGACAACCTCCTGCAACAGTGCCCCAAGGGATTGCTCGTTGGCCAGCCAAACAGCACTCACAATCCCTAGAGTTCACTCTGTCAAACCAATTTGCCGAACATTTATTGAACTTGGCCAACAGGCCCTCGGGGACTACATAGTAGCTCGCAGCTAGAAGGAGCTCTCGGCTGGGCAAACACCGCCTCGAGTTGCACTTGAGGAGCGATTGGCTGTCTGGGCCCGGGAAACTACTTCCGATTTTGGCCAGCGATCAATAAGGACAACCATCACGTGTGCACATATTTACCTAAGACAAGACTGGGCTGGGAAAAGTAAAGGATGGGAATGGGGATGGGCCAGCAACAGCAGCAGTCGAGATTAATTGACCCGATTCATTGCGAGTGAGTGCACAGCTCGGCTTACAATTAATTACAGACAAGGCTGAAACTGAAGAGGGTATGTATATATATAGCTTTATATATATCATATATAGTATATAACCCCGACTGGGGCACCCCGCGACGCGTGCCCAGGTTCACTGTCAAAATTAATTACCAGATGCTACCGCCACTGCGTTTTTATTAAATAAAATTCTCAAAATGTGCGCTCGAAAAAGAAGGAAAACCATCCTCCTCCTCATGGCCCTCGGCACTCTGGCTGAAAATGGCCAGAAAAGGGCAAGGGTGGAGGCTGAACTGGAGCACAGTGGAGACAGCCACCGCAGGCGGGGAATCCGCAAGGCTGTTGCAGTGTGCATCATGCAAATTCTGAAGTGTTGATTTAAAACCTGACTGGCAGCGAAAAGTTTGCTGATGGAATTAAATTATCGGGTTTCGTTGCAGCTTAAAGGCTATGGACCAGATTCACCTAAACTCTGTTATACACACCTTAAACGCTCCCTCTCCTGCTCATCCTCATCCTCCATGATGTCCACCGTGCCCGTGGAATTGGCGCTCAACAGAGCCGACAGTGTGGCCGCTGCCGAGGAGGCCTGTGCTGCAGTGGCTCCTGGCTGTGATGTGGCTGCTGCTCCTCCACAAACACCTGCGGCCATAAAACTGTTATCGGACAGTGTGGCTCCAACGCCTGCTCCCCTGCCCGTAGCCGTAGTGGGTGCTGTTCCAGCTCCTCCTGTTGCCGGTGCTCCTGCCTTAATGCCTGCTGACAGTTGTGGGCTTGTTGCTGCGGCCGTATAGGTTAACAATGGTGTTGCTGCGGTGCCTGTTGCTGCCGCTGTTGCTGCTCCTGCGGCTGGTGGCAATAAATCATGCCTGCCGGATAAATCCGGTGATCCCGTACCCGTTCCGCAATCCATCAGCGCATTGATCTCGTGTGGCAGCGGTTTCGTCACGAACTTGGCACGTCGCACAGCTGCAATGGCAATGAAATTAAATAGTTAATGGTTTATTAAAAAATGTACATTGCAATAATAACATTAACCAGAAAACATTGCTTCGCATAATGCTGGCCCAAAAAAAAAAAAACGTTTCCGCACAAATTGGCAAAACAACTTCCGCCAGCTGCCACACACGGTTAGATTATCCCGTTAGCCTGTTATTTCCGCCGGAAGTGGCAGTGGCAGCAGCGGAAGGAGCCCCAAAACAGCGCGGGGAAAAGTGTGTGTAGAAAAACCGGAAAAGTTGTGCATTTAGCCAGAACGACAGAGGGGCCACTGCTCCGGAATGATTTGCTTTGCATTTTCAAAGTTCGCCGAACAAAATGCAACAATGTGGCGGACGAAGCGTTCCGGATTCTCATTCCGATTCCCATTCCAAAACCTAAAAGTTTGGCGTTAACTTTCATTAGCGGCTGCCAGTGGCAGCCAGTGGAGTAGGGATGTGGGGGTGTGGGTATTTCGGGCTATCCGGATGTCAGAGGGGCATTAAACCATCTGTCGGCGGGCACACAGTGCAACGGGCACAGTGACACAATTGTCAAGGACACAATACACTCACTAAACGTAGTTAATTATTCAGAGTATTTCGGGATAAAAATGGAAATAATTACGAAAAAAGTGCGAATAGAGGGGTTCATGGAATTTTTCCTTTTTTAGGTAACCTTTTTCTACTTTTAGACTATTTCATAATATATTATCTTGTGAAATTATAAATAAGCAATTTGAATATAAAGTTCAATATGAATTTTTCTAAAATATAATAACTCGTAAAGGGAATCCATACCGTATTTCGGCTTATTAAAAGCTTATTTAATAAAGTTTTTTAATTAGTTCGAAGCTTAAGGTATCTTAATATATATTATTTCCACTGATATCTCTACAACCACGGTTGAAAACTCCTAGTTTAACCCACTAGCCATTGTGGAAACGGAAGGAAGCGCTCGTCTTTCACATTGGAGCTGTCGCCAGGACACTGGCGGAGCGCGGAGTGGCATGGTCTGCTCCGGACATGGCCAATTTGAAAATATTTACTTAAACTTGGACACCGCATGGAAGCGGACAGAGGGCGAGTAAATGCACAAAGACATTCATTAGTGTGCAGGGACATATAGTGTAAACTCTACATATACTATATATACTCGCAGGAAAGTCACTTTGGCCCTGCGGTCACACGTTGCAGCAACTTTGGCAGTGCTTTAATGGTGCGGTGCGCCACGGTTTCGGACTCCGTGGCAGCTATTGGGAGCTACGGAGCTCTGTGTCCTCCTGTTGTCCGGGTGTCAGTGGCAGACAATTAACATGCATAATGAAATCAATTTTAAGGGGAGAGAGAGCGACAAATGGCCGAGTCCCACGCTAGAGTTCCCTGGGAAATTAAGCGAAATCTTTTGACAAAGCAAGTCACGTGCCGCCGCCTTAACGACAAGCAAGCGTTAACTTTAATGAGTTTTGCATGCGTTGCACAAGGCGAGGAGAGCCGAGATGGCTGTCAAGTCCTGTCTCCTTTATGCCAAGTCATCATTATCGTCAATAAAACTGTCGCACATGTCGAAAGTTGCCTCAAGTGCATGTTGTCCTTGTGCTTACTGCTCTCTCTCTCTCCCTCTGTCGTTTGTTGTTGCTGTTGCCAATGTCCTGGCATGTCAAGCAGCACAAGTTGAAAAGTTTTAATGCCGTCCCACCGCCTACTTGGGTGAAGTACGTCTGCTTAACTCTGTCATTTTAACACGCCGCCGCTTCCTGCAAGCTGCTCCTGATGATGACGACGATGATGTTGCCATTGCCGCCCCCAAATTGTTATATAATTGAAAGCGTAAATGAGAGAGGATGGGAGGAGAAGCTCCCGACGACAACGGGGCGTATGATTGATTGATTACAGTTCGGTTTTGTTTCGGGACTCAGGTTAAGCCAATGCCGTCACCAGAACATTCTCGGTTTCAACATGCCAACAAAGCTGGCACAAATTGCTCATCCAATTAAATTCAATTTTCCTTTGTTCGATTTATGCATATTTACCACTATCATTAGCACTCATTAACAATTCCAAATTATAGCAAAATTGAATCAAGTCATTTGTGGATGTTGGTGAATGCCCCAGCTTTGTAACTTCAAATTTCAGAATAATATACTTGTAAGTCCAAAAACCCCTGAATATCAATTGAAATCTTCTCACTTTTGACATCCTTTTCGTCATATTGTTTCGGCAACAAAGAAATCTCAATTTCAATACTCACCAGGGACATTCCCCGTCTGATAAGCCGGCGGCGGTGGCAATGTGATGGCTTCCAGAGTCGCGGCTTCCGCGGATGAATCCTGTAGTCCCGAGGCCAGCACTCGATGCTTGCCGGAAGCGGGCTGCAAGTGTATTGTGTGATACTTGACCAGCGGCTGTTGACCAAGTGCTGTCCCCGATGCCGTTGCATTTCCCAAAGGATTGGCCATCGTTGTCGCAATCGGATTCGCAGCCAAATGATGGCCATGGGCCAGGGTGTGGGTGTGGGTGTGGGTGTGGGCGGGACTTCCAGGCGCAGATGGGGTAAACGGAAAGTAAATCGTTGCAGTCGCGGGCGCATAACAATTGGGCGGCACTGTCAGCGGCATTCGCAGCATGCTGCTGGGCACAGCAACGAAATTCTGTTGCAGTTGCTGATGTTGCTGCTGATGCTGCTGCTGCAGCTGATGGTGGTGTCGCGGGAGAGTTGCTGTCGATAATTGCTGCTGCTGCTGCTGCTGCTGCGGTGCATATTTCAGCAATGCGCTGCCCGTTGTCGTTGTCATTAGCATGACATCCGGCTGTTGCTGCTGCTGCTGCTGCTGTGGCTGCAACTGCAACTGCAACTGCTGCTGCAACTGCTGCTGCTGCTGTTGTTGGTAAAACTGCTGCTGCTGATTCAAGTTGCGCAACAATTGACAGGCATCTGCTGACCGTATGGCATGTCAGGGCATAAAAGAAAACGAACAGAGACATGTTAAAGCTGATTAACGACTTGCAATTGTGCTGACAATACAATTAGCATGCGAACAAAGGGCGCAGGACTCACCTTCCCCCTTGTCCGGCGGCACTTTTCCCTTTTGGCCATACTCGAGGCAGTCATTCAGGCTCGTCTCACTGTTGGCCGCATCGTATTTGCAGCCCTTGCAGTTGGCCTATTGAAAGAAAAATGAAGCGGAAATGTAAGCCACTTTAGTGTAAATTAAAGGTTATAGCATAAAAATTAAGTAAGACCCCCAACACATTCCCCCAAACCCTATTCCTCTGCCTAATCAAAGGATAATTCGCAGCTATCATCGTAGTAAAGATTTCAAGCCTTTCCTTATATAATTTGCTAGGCCCACACTGCGGCTACTTGACGTGACATGGGGGCTTGTCAATAAAACACGCAATTTGCATGCTAAATCCCGGGCTTTCTTGGGCACCAAAACTAATGTCATCATGCTCGTGGTTCGCCTCATGGAAAGCTGTTTGCGGCCAGACCCATGCCTGGCGTATATCGTGTGCGTTGCGGTTCTGTGGCATCATCATCATCAAATGCCAGAGCAAATATAATGGACACACACACGCAAACGGGCGAGGGAAATACCAAATGCGAGATGCGAAATGGGAACTGTCTCCCTGTTAGTCTTGCGGTCTGAGCCTCCCCCCGTTACGGCATGTGCGCCATGATAATTGCAAAAGACGATGGCAAAGGCCAAATTGCCGAAATGCCGAGAGCCAAAAGGCCAAAAGCCAAAGCCAAAATGGCAGCAGTCAACACGAGGGCGATAATAATTCAACCCATGACTGGACATCCCCAGAGCCGTTTGCAATCTGCCGACAGGCCGCCTTATCAATTGCCAGCCGCATCCTTGTGGTCCTTATGCGGCAAGCAGGCCCTTGGGTCCTCCTCCTGCAAAGATTGGATACAGAGCCTTAATGAGTTGTTGAATGCAACAACCAGTCGAAACAAGCCATCACAATCACCATCGCAAATCCCAGGCTAGGCAAATGCAAAAATCCTGTTCAACAAGTCGCAGCCGGATTGATTTCCTAAAAGGAATCCAATGCTTATTCTCTTCCTCTCTCTCGAGTGCCGTCGAACACGGCAAGTAGATTACTCCACTCGAGCGTGGAGAATGCGGAAAAGTTTTTAGTTTTCCTCCGTGCTGCAGCTTCGATTCCGCGAGCACATTCCCGGGCCATTTCCACGTGATATCTGAATGGCCGGCATCCGAATCAATTAGGGCCAAAAGTGCCGGAAATGAGAAGTTATTGCATGCCTTCGGAGTGCAAACTTTTCCACCGCCGCATTAAAGTGGCTCGCACTCATTTCAATTTACTTGGCGCACGAACAGAGGGTGGGAGCGGGGGGAAAAATTAAATTTATGCCGCCGCCATAGCCGCCGTTGCCCTTTTGACCCGACTCAAAAGTTTTCGCAACTCTTAAAGTGTCGAAAGTTGGGGAGCTCGGGAGCAGGAGGCAACTCTTAAAGTGTCCGCTTTTCAAGTTTGACGCGAGCCATGGACAAAGTTGGCGTGGAGTTCATTAAAAGTGTCGAGCGGAGTTTGCTTGCATAGAGTGTCCAGCCAGTAAATGTTAATTTATGAAATGAATTATTTTTATTTCCGTTCACCCCTCGACCCGAATAACAAACATTCGATCGAACTGGGCCCTCGGCCACCGCAAAATCACTTATTTATTTATTGAATCCTCGTTTGTCCCCCCGCTCAGCCATAAATTGCCAATTAAACAGAAATTTGTGCAGGCAAAACAAACAGCACGACGAGTGGCCGCAATTGCAAAAAAGCACAGCGAAAGCCAAACAAACCAAATAACTCTTAAAGCTTTAAAAAAATCGTTTCCGAATACATGAAAAAGCAGGAGCAGGCCAGAAGCAGAAATGTCATTACGGAGGGACCAGCAAATCACTTACAAAACTTATGCACGAATGCACAAAACACGCAAACAAAATAAATACAAACACAAATAGCATAAAAAACAAAAAATGTAAAGGCTTCGAGCCACCTACTCAGAGTTTTGATATCCTAAAAAATTATTTATAATGTATACAACAGCAGAGCAAATAAAAACGCAATAAACCAGGGGAAAAACAGAACGTGAAACCGACCCCAAAACCGGATCGAAAGCGAAAACAGTCTGCAGTTTGGAAGACCTAGAAAGTATAGGGTTTTCGTTGGAAAAAATAAACAAAAAGGGCAAAAAGAAAAGTTCTTTGTTGTTGTTTTGGGGCAAATCAATTACAAACTTTCAGTTTGCGTTAATAGAAATCCCGAACGGATACCAGCAGCTCAGCAGCGACCGGGAATGGATGTGTTTTTTGAATCCACTTAAAAGGCTTCTGCTGTCGTAATTAAAACTGAAATTTCGAAATTCAAGCCCTGGCTGCAGTTTGATGTGCGAAATGCGAGCCGAAATCAAAAAGAACAATAAGCCAAGAGAGGGATACTCGAGTCCTGCGTAATCAATGATTTCGCATCACATCCCTGCCGGACTTGGGAGCTTAGGAGCACCCATTTCCATACATCTGCGTGGAGTTTCGCCAAAGTGAAACTGTCGCTGCTGGAAAAAGTTTTGGGGCTGGTGGAAAAACTACAAGCGAAACACTTAGTGAGTAGTGGAGAAAAGTTCATGCGTAAAACAGCGGGCCAGAGAGTAGCCAGCGAAAGTTTTTCCCCGTCATCGCCGTTGCCGCCAACTTTGGACACACGAAACAATGTCGAAAGTTTACTTTAAACCGAAGTGGAGAGCACTTTTCTCTCTTATATTTTTCAGCTTTTTCGTTTGGCTAACTTCACAACAGGCAACCGTTGCAGCTGGAGGGGACTACGCTTTTCCTTCAGGCCATCGAATTAGGATCTATAAAAGTGTCCTCGCTGATGGACTGCAGCTGTTGCTGCTGTTGCTGCGGCTGCTGCTGCTGCGGCTGCTGCTGCTGTTGCTGCTGCTGTTGCTGCTGCTGCTCCTGCGTTCGCTTAAATAATATCAATCATACGCCATGCTTACCCCCATGCCAGCTGACAGACGTCGCTTTGTGCCCTTCTCCTTCTCCTTGTCCCGACTCGCCTTGGCTGTCGACGTTGTCATCGCGGTGACACTGGCTGTCGGAGTGGTGGCCACCGCCGATGATTTCCTCCTGCTCCGTTGGCTCCGGTGGTGGTGATGCTGCTGCAGCTGGCAGCAGAGACGCACGTAGGTGCACTGCAGGGCATCGGCGAGCAGGGCTCCCAGGCTGGACAGGCACATCAGCATCAGGGGGACGCCCACCAGGGCGTAGAAGATGGTCGCCAGCTTGCCGGCGGCGGTGCGCGGCGTCAGGCTGCCGTGACCTGCAAGAGCAAGGGTATCATCCGGATCGGAGTGTATCTCTGGGTTAGTGCATAAAAATGGCAAGCACGAACGGGCTAATATAAATGCATGTACTTTTAATCGGATGGGAATGGGCGAATAAGAGAGAGAAATGGGACAGGTCCTTGGGGTTAGCAGCATATGGATTTATTTTAAAGTTCTTCAAATGTAAACATAACGTTAAAGGAAAATAACTTTGAAAAGTCAATGTTTATATAGCTTTGCAGTTTGCAAATGAATTATGGGATCTCTAAATATTCGCATTCTTTGTATTGATTTATCGTTATTTTTATAAGCCAATTTTGTCGTGTAAATCAAAGTTTAAAAACCATAACAAAGTAAAAAATGTACAAATAAAGGTAATATGTTATATTTTACGAGTTTAACAAGAATTTAAGTTAACGTAATAAAGAAATGTTATTAACTTATGTGTTTTATACTTTATTTTCATGATTTCTACAACTTAAAACTTAAACTTAAACTTAATTCAAGTTAAACCAAAGCACAAGTCTTCAAAATGAAATTTAAAGCTATAAAACACCCCCACCAGATGGTCACTTGTCCGTCTACCAATTAACCCAGATATAATGTACTAACACTGGACATTCCAAGCTCTCATTATGACCCTAATATTTACCATTTAAACAAACTTATTGTTTGGCCACAACAATGTCCACAATAAATCGGTTTAGCGACACATTTGAGTAGCTTATCTACGACTCCTCCTAGGGACTTTTGTCCCCCTAAAGAACATGGAACGTTGTTAAAGTTAAAGACCCTGAGATATAGTTAATTTGTAACAACACAAGGCTGTGGCCCCGCCAGGGCCCATCACTTAGCATATGCAAATATTTTGTCTCGGCCTACGGGTCGTATACACAATGTGTCTGATGTTCCACGACTCCCACGACTCCTCGGGCAGCTCTCTCTTTGGTGCTGGCTTAGTTTGCACTAGAAGGCGTTGGGATATCGAGGTCTATTTGTCCCTGCCCTTCGCCCCCGCAAAGTAAATATTTGCTGGCCACAGCACGAGTTGTGGGAAATGCCCGAAAATCATAATAAGCAGTACGGCGGACAGAGTCCCAGGATAAACACTAAACATAAATCCGAACGGCTTAGTTGTGGCAGTGAAAGTGCGGAAACGGAAACGGAAATGGAAAGGGGATGGGACAGGGAACAGGGAAGAGGGAAGAGGGAAGAGAAACGAAGCCGGAACGGAACTCACCAATTGTCGTTATCACAGTGACCGAGTAGAGCAATGCCTCGCTAAATGTCCAGCTCTGCGAGTCGCCGGCATCATAGCCAAAATGGCCCAGGGCGCTGGCACTGCCACCTTGGAAATGGACTCCTCCGCCGTTGCCGCCTAAAGAGCCACCGGATCCTTGGCGCGTGGCTGCCACAATGGAGCCCTCGAAGCGACGCAGCTGCTCGTGGACCAGCATCGTCCAATTGCGTTCGTACAGCACGTTGAGTTTCTCTAGGGGAGACAAAAAAAAAGAAAAATAAAACCGAAAATGGAAGGTTAGCTCGGTTGGAGAATCCTAGAGAATGCGACCAAGTGCCCTTTCCGTAATTATGCAATTTCATGCCAAGTGCAGTGATAACCCCTGACATCATTCGACCTCCCATCGACACGGGCGACAAGTGCCGACAAATCGGACCATCCTCACTCGTATCCATCGCTCACCTTGCCATCCTCTGACCTCCCCTTCGATTTCGGGCGAGTGTCTTGAGGAATCTGCTCCCATTTGATGTGATGTGTCGTGTGTTCGCCTCGCCTTGCCTCTTGCGGAGGCGGCAAATTGTAGAGGTCGCTTGTTAACAGCAGTTCGAGACTAGTTTGCTGTTGGCCACGCCCCCCTCTTGGCCTTGGGGCGTGAAAGGAGGCTAAGGAGGAGTCACTCGTGGCATGAGGCCTCGGGGGTGCACTTTCCCTAGACATCATCCAAAACCACCCACTCTAATCGACCGAAGAACGAGGCAAGTGGCCAAGTACAAAAGCAAAAATCAAATGTTTCTTTTTTGCCAATCCTTTCCACTGATGGAAAAACACAGAATACTTGCTTCACTCTTTAAAGAAAGTTTAATGCTGGTTTGGTATCTAAACGATATTTATCAGGTTACTTGAAAATGTATATGACTTTAAAGGGTTGAATTTTGAGAAGTTAAAGCAGAATTAGGTTACTGTTTTACATTTTTTTCGGTAATTATAGGTGCGTGCAAGTGGATAAATCTCATTTACTGAAGATAAATTTAATTATAATTAAGATCAAAACTGTATGGCAATTATGGTAATGGGAAATATTCAATTAAACCATTTAAAGACCTGTACAAAGTATGCCAAATCCCTTTTAAGAGCTTAAGATAAAGTTTTTTTAGTAGACTTGTGTGTTCCCTAAATCTTTCCCTATCTACTCCTTAATTTTATTTTTAACCCAAAATTAGAAGCCCTTGCCAAATTCCTACACAGTTAAAGGCAAATAATAAATGACCTTTGGCAATGGAAAGGTGAGCAGGAAAGGCTTCACATCATTAGACGCTCGTTGGTGTTCTCATAGAATTAATCATAAGCCAGGTGAGACGCCATCTCTGCCGCGGATGAGCTCAAGTTAATTGGTTTATTTATTATGTGAAATTTTAATTAAATAAACATCAGCCCTAATGAACACGCACGTGCCGCGCTGCCACTGTGCCTTGGTCCCAAGTGCCACCGGCAGGTGCGACATAGTAATTAATTTCACATAAATCAGGCCCACAAAATATGGACTTCAGACTACGCATAGTTGCGATAAATGCACGCCAAATCGATTCGATTAAATATGGCCGAATCGCGGAAATGGGTTCAATTTCCCTGCCGAACCAAATATATTCGCGAAATGTAAATATTATTCTGTTATTCAATTGGCCAGCAACGAAATTGAAATTTTGCCAGCCTTTTGTTTTTTTTTTTTTTTTTTTTTTTTTTTTTGTTTTTGCGGCCGTCAGCCGATAGGGTGCACAGGGGGATAAACGGATGACTGCGTCATCTGCCGTAACTGTGTACACCATCGGTAGTGCGACTATACTCTCCAAGCGAGGGCGGCTGGAAGCAGGTCCCCAGTCGAGGCTCGACCGGGGATGCTGACCAATTGTAGTCGGGCGGACCTAGGCAGTCTTTAATTAGCCTCCCCTCAAGTCAGGTGTGTGATGCGACCCGTGCACACTGACTTTCAGGTTCGCAGCTGAGGGGTTAAGCCAGCTGTGTCTGCACGGAGCCTTCCCAGGGCCGGGCAACCCTGGGTCGTAAGTGGCCTTGCCGCAGTTTTGGGGCGAAGCTGCGGTCGACCTTCTTCAAAGCCCCAAACCCCCTCTGGCCCGCTGCGCTTGCCAGGTCGAGCAAAGCGGGCGTTTATGAAATGAAAATGACTACAAAAAACCGAGCTTCGGAACTCCCGGGAGAGGATAAACCCCAAACAATGTCAACGAAGGACGAGAAGGAGATGCAGAGGCCGAGACTGGTCGCTGCATCTCACATTGCATCGGAGACCGACGGAGACGAGTCGCAATCCGAGGGGAGAGCGAGTAGCACTCCCCAATCGAAACACACAGGTGGGGCTCAGCTGAGCACCACCTCAGAAATAGCAAAAATGTCTCACCATCAGAGACGAGCGAGGGTCAACAGAGCCCGCTTCGTTCTTGGCAAGATAGCCAAGAATGAGGCTGAGGGCAAAACGGACCCTCGGGATGCCGAGGACAAGGCCAAATTCCTTGCGGAGATCGCGGAATTTGAGCAATACAAAGCGGCAAACCCGGCGGCGTTCCAGCCCTCGAAGGCAAAGAGAATTCGCTCACAGGAAGTGAGCGAAAGCGCGCCTAAGAGAGCGAAGGACCCACAGGGTAAGCCGCGAGCGACAAACTTTGTCAGCCAGGCAAAGAAGTTTAGCGAGGTGGCCAGAGACAGTCTGGCTATGGCACTGGTGGACGAGCTCCATGACGACGGTCGCCTGCTGTCGGAGAAGTGGGAGGAGATCGAGGCCAAGTTGGCCGACATGGTGACCGACAGGTTGGTCAGCATGCCGACCGGCCCCATCCCCTCCTTCGACTCCTCAGACGTGGTCAGAGGGCACCGGGTCATCAGGTGCGACGACGGGTTCTCCCGAAGCTTCCTGGCGGAGTGTGTGGCAAAGATTAGCGACACATGGGCTGGCCTTAAGATTAGGCTAGTCCACGCCAGGGAGATCCCAAGGAGACCCAGAGCTCGCATCTGGTTACCTAAGGGCCAAACTGACCATGCAAGGGTGATCGCCTGTCTGAAGGCCCAGAACCCAGATATCCATACAGAGGACTGGACCATCCTCAGGGCAGAGCAGGTGATGAAGGCGAGCCAGCCTTTCCTCCTGCTGATTAACCAGCAATGTCTGCCCCAGCTGGAGGCGAACGACCACAAGGTCCGGTACGGCATAAGGAAGGCCAAGATTAAGGTCTTCTTGGCCGAGCCGGACGAGATTCTGGAGGAAGTCGATGACACCAACAAATTGTTGGACGACATGGTCATCGACGACAAATCTCCGGACGCCACCCCCACTAACATCGATGTCGAGAATCGTGCAGATTAACCTGAAGCGCAGCTCGCACGCTTCAGCTAATCTCACGATCCTTCTAAGGGAGAGGGATATCGACATCGGTCTGATACAGGAGCCTTGGACCAGGGACGGGCAAGTCGCTGGACTGAGAATCCAAGGATACACACTACTGTGCACAAACTCGGATGGTAGGTCGAGGGCTTGCATTGTAATCAAGAATCATTTTAACGCTTTTCTCTGTCCCAATCTCAGCACACCTGACCTAGCAGTGGCCAGATTCGTGGCGGAGGATGGGAGCGGAGTCACTCTATCATCAGCGTATATGGCCCATGACGAGCCGGCCCCGCCTGAGCCGGTAGTCAAGCTGCTGCAATGGGCGGAAGTGACGAAGACGACCCTGGTGCTCGGGTGTGATGCGAACGCGAGGCACACGCTCTGGGGTAGTTCGGAGACTAACGAAAGAGGTGAGTCACTCTTTGACAATATTATATGTAGAAATGTAACGATATGCAATAAGGGTAATACCCCGACCTTTATCTTTCCGAGCACGGAAAACTTTCAAGGTTGGGAAGAGGTGCTAGACCTCACATTACTTATAGAACAAAATAAATACAGGGTCGAGAACTGGAGGGTATCAACAGAACACTCCTTCTCAGACCATAGATACATTTTCTTTGATATAACGGTACCAGCTAAGAAGCAGGTGCCGAGGAGAAACCCCCGTAAGACGGATTGGAAAGTTTTCAGCGAAATTGTCCGATCCAAAGTAAACGGCAGGAGGATCAAGACAATATCCACTGCAAAGGCACTCGACAAGGAGGTTGAGGACCTAACGAATATTCTGAACAACGCCTTCAAAGAGACTTGTAAGCCTACATTCTCGAAGAAGCAATACCCACCGTGGTGGACGAAGGAATTAAGCGTGCTCAGGAAGAGCGCGAGGAAGTCCTTTAACCACAGCTATGCAACCCGGGATTGGGGACCATACAAAGAGGCACAAAAAATCTACAAGAAGGCAGTATGCAAGGCCAAGAAAGAGTCCTGGCAAAACTACTGCGAGTCACTGGAAGGCATAAAGGACACGGCGAGAGTAAGCAAAATTCTCGCCAAAGGGCACATAAGCCCTACCCTGATCAATAGGGCAGACGGCTCCGCTACGACGACAATTGAGGAGTCACTAGAGCTACTAGTTGACACCCACTTCCCAGGAAGCCTGAGAGAGAGCTCGGAACCCGTGGAGGGAACGAGCTCTCAAATGGACACACCCACGAAAGACATCATTACCACTGAGCGGATACAGTGGGCAATAGATTCTTTCGATAAGTATAAAAGCCCGGGCCCAGACGGCTTATTACCGGCAATGCTACAATCAGCTAAGGACAGTATTTGCAAATGGCTAAAAGCCATTTACGAAGCTTGTTTAAGACTGACGCACGTCCCACTGCTGTGGAGAGAGGCTAAAGTCATTTTTATACCGAAACCGGGCAGAAGAGGGCATATCCTAGCAAAGGATTATAGACCGATAAGTCTTACCTCCTTCACCCTGAAGACACTAGAGAGACTCCTGGACGCCCACATCCGAGAGTCTCTAGAAGGGCAGCAACTCTCGGATGCGCAGCATGCGTACCGCAGAGGAAAATCTACGGAAACAGCGCTACACGTAGTTGTACATCATGTCGAGAAGACATTACAACACAAACAATACACGATGGCAGCCTTCCTAGACATCGAAGGCGCGTTCAATAACGTGAACCCCGACTCTATCCTGAGCTCCCTCAACTTGCTAGGTATTGAGAGAGGCATCAGAGAGTGGGTCGGAGTCATGCTAAAGAGCAGGACGATCACAGCCGAACTGAGTGGCACTCACCTCACGCGGACTGTGAAGAGAGGCACACCTCAGGGCGGGGTACTATCGCCCCTACTCTGGCTCACAAATATGAACGCCATATTGACAGAACTCAATACGGGTGGAGTCAAAGCAGTTGCATACGCGGACGACGTAGTACTGCTAGTATCAGGACCATACCCCGACGTCATTAGCGAAATAATGACGGGTGCGCTAGGTCGTCTAAACAAATGGGCAGAAACCTGCGGACTAGGTATCAACCCCACTAAAACGGAACTTATGCTCTTCACACGGAGAACTAAGATACCTCCCTTCAACATGCCCAGTATTAGCGGCATGGAGCTAAAACTATCGGAGCGAGCGAAATATCTAGGAGTGATTCTGGATAAAAAGCTCTCATGGAAAGATAACATTGCAGAACGAGTTAGGAAGGCAAGCATTGCATTCTACTCCTGCAGGAAAATGTTTGGGAACAAATGGGGACTGCACCCTAAGATAATTCTATGGCTCTACACTGCAGTGGTACGGCCAATTCTAACATACGGAGCTCTAGTATGGTGGCCGGCACTAACTAGGGCTTACAACAGAACGAAGCTGACACGGATACAACGGGCAGCGAGTGCGGGAGCAGTGGGTGCAATGCGCTCATGCCCCGCGGCTGCTCTCAACGCTATCCTAGATATAATGCCGATAGAGCTGTTCGTGAAGGACACTGCGGCACAGAGCGCAGTAAGACTGAAGGCGAGCAATTGCTGGAGGGACTACGGCGCCGGGCACGGAAAGATCCTTGCAAACAGCGGCATTAACACAGACGTTAAGACCGACTATATGATCGCGGAAATGAATTTCGGGAACGCATTCTCGACATCATACCCATCAAGGGACGACTGGAGTAGGGGCAGAGTAGTAGTGGAGAACGAGGTGTCCCTCTACACCGATGGCTCAAAAATGAGCTGCGGCGTAGGGGCTGGGATCTTCGCTGAAAACTGGGGAATTGAAAAGGCTTTCAATCTCTCTAACTCAGCGACGGTCTTTCAGGCTGAGTTACTAGCCATAAGGGAAGCAGTCGAACTTTCCTTAAGGCAGGAACTCAGGGGCAAAAGAGTTCGAATCTACTCGGATAGCCAAGCGGCTATAAAATCCCTATCTGCAGTAAAAACAAATTCAAGACTAGTGGCAGAATGCAAGAAGGCCCTTAATAGACTTGCCGACAAAAACACGGTACAAGTGACATGGGTACCGGGACACAACGAGATCCCAGGTAATGAGAAGGCAGACGAACTAGCCCGTGCAGGCTCGGCGGGGCTAAGCTCTGACTTCGAGTTACCGATCTCCCTAAACGCGATCCAGACAAGGATCCATGACCACTTTAGACAGATAGCCAGTAAAGAATGGCAAAGGAAGAGCGATCACAGAAGGTCAAGGGAATGTTGGCCGAGGTACGATAGGAAGAGAACCAGGGAACTGCTATCCAACAGCAAGCGGGATATCAGTAGGTTCACGGCACTCACCACGGGACATTGGGCGATCGGTTCGCATGCAATGAAGATGGGACTGCCATACAACGCAATCTGTAGAAGCTGTAAGCAACCTACAGAGCAAGAGACACCGGAACATCTGCTCTGCTTCTGCCCAGCGCTAAACCACATCAGGTTTCGCCACTTCGGTGCCTACCAGATGGAGTCACTGAGAAGCATAGGAAAGCTGAAAGTTTCAGCGATCCTAGGCTTCCTTGCTGACTCAGGATGGTACTGATAGTGAATAACAACAAGAAAAACAGAGGGTGTGGAACAAAAAGGAGCTTAGCTCTAATTGGAGGCCCCAGCAGTGGGCCTCACCACTGAAACCTACCTACCTACCTTTGTTTTTGCCTCGACGGGTGTGGGGCCATGTTTGCGGGTACTTATAATTAAAATATTTGTGTTTGCCCTGTGCCGGCAATCGATTCTATTTGCTTAGCATTAATGGGCGATAACAAAACATTGTCGCTTCAATGTTCGCATTACTTTGCCAATTTGCAGGCAAATCAAGCGTGCAAAGCCCGCCGAAAAATTTACGGGCAATGCGCCACAAAATGTGGCAGCAAACCATTATAATTTATGCTTCATTTTTGGCGCGTTGCCAGTGAAGCGTTAAAATAACTGTTGCAAATTCAGGCAGAACGAAAAGAATGTGAATTCGTATTTGAAATTTAAAGATCAAAGGTGATTACAAGGGTCAAGAATGTTAATTATTAGAAAAGTTATTTAAATAAATCGTAAAGGGAGGAGTAACTTGAGCTTAAAATATTCAGAGAATGGTATCAACTCAAGCTCAATGCTATAAATATTACTTATTATATATTACAGATGCCCATAAAATATGATTTCTTGGATTTACTTGTTCTTAAAAATACTTGAAAAGATACCCAATTCACCCAATGATCACTCACCCGTTATGATCCAGAGTTCCCGCAGACAATCTTCTCGACTCTTGGCAATGGCCGCTGATTTGCTCAGATCCTGCGGCGCCTCCAGCAGCGGAAAGATGAGGGCGCCCAGTATGGAGTACCCGATGACCAGGAGCACCAGGCCGGGCGTGGAGAGCAGCAGCTTGAGCAGCTGGCCGCAGCAGCGTCGAAAGCAGCTGTCCGGCTTGGCGGTGAGCGTGGCAGTGGTCTTGACCCCCACCTCAGAGCTGGCAGGATGCTCGGGATCCGTCTCATCGTCGATCCCACAGTCCAGCTGTTGCTGTTGATGCTGGTTCTGGTGCTGCACCTTAATCGCCTTCTCAACGTCGGACATGATCGCTCAGTGTTCAATGGCATTTAGTGGCCACCTGCTCTCCTTGTCGGCTTCCGTTCGCCAAGCATTTCCGTTTCCGCTGGCAGTCGGGCTTGGTGATTCATGGCTGGACCGAAACCCCTTTGGCTCACACTAATTGCAACAACGATTTCTCATTATTCGCAATGTCGCTTTGTCCGGGGATTTCTCTCGGTCCGTCTCCGTCTCCGTCTCCGGGTCTGACTCGTTGCTAGTGTCTCTGTCTATGTATGACTGGGGGAACCCCCAGATTCTCTATCCGCTTTTTGCCTTTAGCTAGCGTATTATGTTTTAAGCTGTCGTTGACTCGCTTTTGCTGTCGTTGCTGCTGCTGCTGCTGCTGTTGCTGGTGATGTTGCTGCTGTTGTTGCTGGTGATGTTGCTGCTGTCGCTGCTGTTGATGTTGCTGACGTGGCATTTACCATTGTTCCTGGTCTATGCACTTCATGGACTCTTCCTCCTCTTGTGCCGTTTGTACTTTAAAAGTTGTTGTGCCAGTTTATTCCCCTCCGTTTCGTTGTGTTGCCTGTAATTGAAAACATTTGTATGCTGTAGTTGCTGTAGTATTCATATTGTTGCTGCTGCTACTGCTGCTACTGCCTGGCTGCTTCCGTTGAAGTGCACTTGGGAGTAGGTTAAGCGCACACAAAGTGAAAACGTACTAAATTTGACACTTCACTTAATCTAATTAGCAGCTCTTTAAGGCCTGGTTTTTCCATTGTTGCTAAAATGGTCAGTCAAGAGACAAATTTGCAGGCAAATTACATTCTTATACAGAAACAATACCTGATTAAGCAAATGTTGATTGATTGGTAAATGAATTTATCATATTTTTACAGGCTCTCGACCGCATTTGCCACAGCAACATAATTGTACTAATTGTAAAAGATTATATTTCAAGGAAAAATCAACCCCAACTAACTCCTCTTCCTTAAGCACATTTCCCTGAACATATTCGACTTTTTTCTAGCCCATTTAAATATTGATTCCCTATCGGCAGGACTACCTTAACCCGCATCTTATTAAGGCTTCATTTAACCCGACTTACCCACAATGAGCTCATTATCGGATCCCATCGATTAAGCCCATAAAAATGATAACAATGATTAAGTCCATATAGGATGCGGCGTGTAATACAAATTGAATAAGCGTCTGGCCTGAGTACAGATATAGACAGACAGCCAGGCAAATTGAAATCCGTCTGCTGTCGAGTATATATGTTCCTTTGAATCCCGCCCAGAGCCTTCACACATCAAAGTCCATAATCGTAATGAAGCTGACTTTGTTGATGCGGCCGGGTAAGGCGCTTAGGATATTTAGACATTGAATCAATTAAAGACCCAAGCGGAGAAGCTCGGCGATTAGTTATAGAAGCTCCTCCCTTCTGGGAATAGCCAAGGAGGAGGAGGAACAACACGCAACACATTTATTGATGTGTGCGGGAATGTGGCTAAGGATACCGAGAAGGGAAAACCAACGAGGAAAACATTTATTCTTTTTGTAGTCGCCCCTTTGTGATGTGTACAACAAAAGGGGAGGCCTGTTCTTCTTCGTCTGGCTCACGCAATTTACTTAATTGGAAAATAAAATAAGCTAAAGCCAGAGACTGGGATTGGCATAGGGATCGGGATTGGGTTTGGGTTTTGGACTTGGACTTGGGCTTGCGGGCTTTCTTGTTTTCGTGGCTGGCACTCGGAACTGTGCCAAGCCGGAAATGGCTGGGCCACTGAAACAATGGCCACTTGAGTTGCTTTTTTATGGCTAGCGCGCATAATTTAATTCAGCGTAAAACGGGGCGTATGAGCGACGCAACGAAGAGGCCGAGGCGCAAGGCGCTGGCTAATGCAAAATTAATGTCAATCGCTGATTTAGACCCTCGGCAAGCCATGGCCAATGCCCTCTTAATTGTGACCTAACATTTGAACTGTGATGGCAACACGAACTCTCTCACACACACACAGAGGCACACAGAAAAACCGAAGGACATTGAGGACGAAACGTCTGCCGGAAGTTATCCCTTTTAGCCAGATTGAAATCAGCTTAGAGTCGCTGCTTAATTGAAATGTTTGCGTTTCACTTTAATGAAAACGTTTTCAGAAAACCCTTTTCAGTTGCCAGTTTTTCCATCTTTAGCTCTTCCTCCTCACCCCGTCATATTTTCCTTTTATTCCGGACAGATTTCTTTCATTTCATCGTTCTTCCTCGTTTTTCGCACGTCATTTTATGGAGTTGCCTCTGCCAAAGTTTTAATAGTTAAGTACGGCTGCAGCTCTTGGGATAACGAGGAAGAAGCCGCCATTGCCGCCGCCGAGCCTTCATTTCCATTCATTTCCTTGGCCGCTTCTCTGCAGACTTTGGCTTTTGTCCCACTCCGCCCTATTATATGCATTATTTATTATTATTTATTTTAAATGCAATGTCAACAAACGCAGTTTAATTACAATTTTCAACTCATCAAATGCAGCAGCCGCAGCGGCGAAAGGAAATGCCGAAGAGGAGCGGAAGTGAAGGACATTGGGGGGGGGGTCGACAAGGACGTGTCAGAAGGAAAAATGGCGCTAATGGCGCCAACATTTGTCCCTATCCTGCTCCTGCCCACTCTCTGCGCCCCCGGCTTTCATCAGTTTTCCCACTTTTCCGCACTTCGGAGACCAGGACAGCTTGGCTTGGCTGTTTTTAAATCCAATTTCGCTTCATAATTTTATAACCCTCCGCGTTCAATCCCCCCGAGGAAAATCCCATCCCCGAGTCCCATCTTCCCCCTGCTGGTTGGCCATAGCCGATTTAATTGCATTGCTGACATTTAGCACCCAGCAATGAGAACCCATAGGAAAAAAATGGGAGGGAGTAGAATAGCAGGAAAAGCGCATTCAAAGTTGATTTTTTGAACAATATTTGCATGTTGGCTTGTTAATTGAACCCGAATGGAATCATCTCTTTTAGTCGATTTAGCAATTTAACACTTTAAAATTGTTTTTGCTACTGAATGAGGGAACCAGGTATGCCAATCAAGGGATTACATTTGAATGGAGCTGCCATAAGCCGGGGATGGGATCTAACTGAACTAGAACCAGGAGAGGGACACAGGTTAGCCTGTTGAATGGAATGCAGCTAGGTTTAAATGGGACTTGGAAAGGGAGCTTAAATGTTATAAGATATATAAAATATATCTGAATATATACCTATTAATTACATATTAGTAATCTCCCCAGAAATCTTTCTAAAAATCAACCTTATAAAGCCTTATTTTAACCTCGCATTCAACACTTTCATTATCTTACTAAGCACTTAATGAATAAAAATACCATATCACTAAATAAATTAGAAATAAATTAAAGCAACACCGGAACCAGACTCACCAGCTTAACATTATTTATAAGCAGAGCACAATAAAATTGCTCAGTCAAGTGCCTATAATGAAAACTAAATGCTACAAGATTACTGGTCTCCGGAAAGAGGAGGAGACTGAGCAAGAGATAAGGGGATTTCCCGGCGTGTTTTCCACGCCTTTGAAGCCATAAAAGCACTGAAGCGTGCGCTGAACTTTTAGCACATTTGAGATTAGAGAGTGCGAATAATAGTGGGTTTTATGGCCAGAGGTGTGAAACAAAGCCGCAATGTATATATCTATATAAACAAATACAAATGAGGATATCCGCTTGGATGTATAATCATAGCTGCTCCGGAGAGTAATACGATCATGATCATGCTTATGATTATGATTACGATTATGATTATGCAATTGAGGGTGCGGAAAACACTTGAGAGGCGCTCGTAATTCAAACACAAAGCCCACAAAAACGAACCGCAAGGAAAGTGGCTGCTGCAGGCCACACGGACATTATGTGCAACGGAGGAGCGGTGCCGGGAATCCAGGATATAATGACCATGTTAATGCCCAAACACAAAAGTGCACTGAAAGGAAATGAGCAAGATAAGTAACGAGCCCGAAAATGTTACCCCTCGTTTACCCACGGGCTGGCCAAAGTTTTCCGGAAAAACAAGGCAAACCAAGTCTGAAGAAGCCGGGGACTAGCTCTCGACTCCTTGGCCGTTCCTCATTAAACGCACTCAAGTCGCTTGCAACAATCTTAATTATGTTGTAAAGTCTTTTGGCCAGGAGGGCCAGGAGGAGAAAAAGCAAACCGAAGGATACTGAAAGCTGGCCAGGAAAAAGTTTGCCAGCGCGCTGATTAGTTTTTCGAGTGCCTCCAGTGCTCCAGTCAGCCGGCCAAGTCAAGCGTTTCCACTCAGTCTGTCATCTAGTCAGTCCAGCGGCATCAGTTGCACCCAATGCTCCCAAAGGCCTTCCCGGGCAAAACTTTTCCAAACTGCGTGGCGGAACAACAAAAACTCATTAAAAACTGCACAAATGCAACGTTTGGCCCATAAATACACGGCGGCATAGCCCTCTCAGCAGCAGCACCAGCGCCATCGCCATTGCCGGAAAATGAGGACGAAGTGGCTGCGGCCAAGTCAAGCAGGGAAACGCAAAACTGCCCAACAAATGCACAATAATTAGAAGCAAATTTAAAAGTCGTTTGCCTGCTAATGAAGGCTTCCTTTGTGCCCCAGAGAGTTAAATGGCCGGAGGTCACAACAAAACGACGCCCCAAAACTGCAGGGCTAAGTGTTCAAAGCTGTTGCAGCTAATGGTCAAAATAAGTTGAATCAATTTCCTTAAATATCATAATTGCATTTTGATCCAAGAGGTGGCAGAAATAAAATCAAATTTCAATTGAAATGGGTTCTCGGGATTTAGTTGTTTAAGGCGTTTTGAATTGACAGCAATTGAATGTATATATTTAATATGACTAACGAAACAAGAAACATTTGACTAACCATTAAATTTAAATTAAAATTTAAATTAAATCACAATTTTTCCATTTATTATATATATTCATTAGAATATCTCACACTTTACTACAGCTTTATATATTTCTATTCTTTTAAAAATGATTTTTCTTGTGAATATGGTCAAGTAAACTATTTTTAAAACTGTCAAAAAAAGTAATCAAATTAAACAATAAACCAAGAACAAACATATTTGACTAAAAAGCCATAAAATGCCTGATGTCAGGCATTTTTGGCTTGGCTTTCAATGTTGGCCCCAGGATCTTTTATTGTTATTTTCTGCTGACACTCATGGGGTTTTTTTTAATCAGCAATTGAAAAGTTCTGCCTGGCAACAGCTGGCAGTGCATAGTTCAACATAAACTCGTTAACTTTCATAATTAAATTGTTAAACATCAGTTGGGCTTTAATTGACAGTCGCCGAAGGTGGAGTCAGGGGGAGCTGAAAAAACGGACAGCCTCAGGAGTAGGACATCGTCCTTTTGGCCAGCTCAGCGAAATTCCTTAAG